TACTTTGACTTTTACTTGAGTACATTTTTGACTGTGTATTTGTACTTTTACTTAAGTACATTTTTTGAGTACTTTCTCCACCGCTGGTTTACAGCCACCTGCCTCGCATCGCCCAGCTGAAAGAAACGTGTCACAGGCTGCGACGCAAATCTATATTGACAGAAATGTTGAAATTTAATATTTATTCTACACATTATTATGGCATTGGAAAACGTTAAGAATGATTGTGTCATGTTTGTCCTACAGAAACCATATTAAAACATAAATAATATATTTCCCACCCCCATCTTTTTCACTTTTCAAACATTTTTGAAAAGCTCCAGGGAGCCACTAGGGCGGCGCTAAAGAGCAGCATGCGGGTTGCCGACCCCCAAGCTATACCATTAAAATCTATGATGGCTCCTTACAGCTGTCTGTGGTTAATAGATAATAAATCCTTCATTTTCTGTCATTTCAGGATTTAAAACTGTTTTTCTGAGGCAAAAATAAACATTTTAAGATTCTAATAGGAAAAACAGTTTATAAAGTTTAATGTAGCTAATATTTACCATTTTAAATTATTTATAAATTCTCAGGGAAATTTTCACTAAGCATTATTAAAAGTAAAGGCTGAACTTGGAGGCCACACAGAACTATTCTAAGGGCCACAAATGGCCCTCTCACCTCATGTTGAACACCCCTGGTCTAACCAGGAGCGGCTCCGTGACAGGAGGCCACAGTGCGCATGCGTCATTAGGAATGTTTCCTCAGGCGTCGAAGGATCAACGGAAACTTTTCAAAAACGTTTTTTCTGAGCGGAGACGAAGAACTTTCTATCCAGAGCAGCAAATGGCAGCAGCGCAGTGAAATATCTGACACGAAATCACATTTCCGCCTCCTCTCGCTAATAGAGATCATATCTGAACAGCAGAAGGTTCTGGGCAGCTCGGTTCTACTTTAGGGTTCGGGCAGTTCGGTTCTACTTTAGGGTTCGGTCTGTTCTCTCCTCTCCGGTCTGGAAACACAGAAACGTCTAAAAACGGGTCGGAACCAGTTTGATAGAAAGTTAGAACTCACCGGACGGACTGCTGAAGTCTGCGTCGCAAAATGGAGTCCAGAACTGAAGGATACCTGTTGGTGAAATACTTTCAGTTTCTATAAATCAGCTGATAATGTGTGCGCATGCGCGGTGTCTCTCCAGGTGAGGCGCTCATGGACGCGCCCCATTTCATAATGAAAATCCATTTTAGTTCTGATTTAACTTTGGGAATCCTGGGTTTTCGGTGTCAGAAACCAGAAAATGATTAAACCTTTGCAGGTGTGTTGAGTTAATTAGCTGATTAGCGTTTGACACCATGAGTTTCCCTTAATTCACGTTTTCATTATCTGTGTATCATCTTTTCAAACCACTCAGGCCTTCTTGTGCTGGTCCATTTTCTTTCCCCAAGAACCAGAACCGAACATGGAGAAGCAGCACTCAGTTTCTGTTTCCCTCTAATCTGAAACAAACTTCCACAAAACTGCTGAAACACTGATTTTCTTTAAATCAACATTAAAACATATTTGTTTAGGGCTGCCTTCGATTAACAACTGGAACATAATTTTTTAAAGTCTGGATTAGAATGTAGTTCTTTTTTATCTCATGTGTTCATAATGTAAAGCATTTTGAATCGTCTTGGTGCTGAAATGTGCTGGATAAATAAACTTGTCTTACTATAATTCAGGCTGTTCATCACAAGTCTAAATACAAAAGAACACTTTAGGTTCCCTTTTACTCTTAAAATTTTATGTACAAGATGTGACTGATTTCATTTTCAAATGTACATTCAATATCGAAAGTTTATATACGTAATATTACATTGAACATCTCACAAATTGCACTAGTCTTTCACATAAGATTCAAAATCAGTCAAAGTCATTCGTGTCTGCAGAAGCTCATTTCCTGTGATTAAGGCACGGAGTTGAGATGGGGGTGCGGTTGCCCCCCGGCCCGGGTCTGGAGGTGCGGTTGCCCCCCGGCCCGGGTCTGGAGGTGCGGTTGACCCCCGGCCCGGGTCTGGAGGTGCGGTTGCCCCCCGGCCCGGGTCTGGAGGTGCGGTTTCAAGTCCCTTAAATGTCTGATTATAGACGGAGGAGGTGAACCCTCACCTGTTGAGAAAGGTCTGTTTGATGTTAAAGTTACTTTCTCTCAGTGGAATATATACTAGTCAGTTCCAGTGACCGTTTCACTCACGGTTTTGCCGAAGTGCTTCCTGGGTAAAAATCAAACGAAAAGCGCGTCCCTTCTGATGTTTGGGGAGCCGAGCGGCCCCCTCTCCGAGCCGCAGTCTGGGAGCCTTAGCGCGACTATGTCGCTCTTTCAGCTTTGGTCTCTGCTGTCGTTGTCTACAGGGGGTGGGACGCTGGACAATACTGTGGAGCCAGTTCCTGCCGTGAGGTAACCTGCAACTCCTGGACCTGCAGGCCACAGGGACAACGGGTTAGGCTGCAGACAAGACGGGACTTAGAGGAGGTGAAGCGCTAAGGATGAGCTATAATGGTTAAAGACTGAATGTCCACAGAGCTCATCAATGTACTTTCCCTAAGATGGAACCAAGACGACGTGAAAGTTAAGAAACTAAAGCAGTTTTCTCCAAATGCTCCACTCTTTAGGAGTCATTGACATGCAAAGGTATTCACACGCCTTCACACTGAATAAATGTATATATTTTACCACTGAGATGAAGACGTTGGAATGGAAAGTGTCACGATGGAACAAGGATGGAGGGAAGAAGGGGAGGATAATTATGTGACAGTAGGAGCCAGGCAAGAGTCTACCTGCATCAAAGCAAGAAAGAGGAGGGCTGTGGGGGCCCAGCTCTGGGTCTAGAGCCCACCCAGCAGAGGGCTGCTGGCGGCCAGGAGAGAAGGAGTGGAAACCCCTGAGGAGGAAACGTAGAGGACAAACAGGGAAGGGAAGCGGAGAGCCGGGAAGTTACAGGGACTGGATAGAAAAAGGATTGCTTGGAGGAATCAGCCAAGTGATTTTTAGGATAAAGCAAATCATTAAGTTTCATCACCAGCTCAGAGAGAAGCAAGGAGGGCCGACATTATCAGCAACTGGCAAAGTTTTGCTGATGTTATTAATGTTAGGAGCCTGAAATGACAACAAGACTTTACCCGTCAGGTAGCCTGCAGTCTGAGACTCTGAGATGAAAAGATCATGCTTCTGGTCTTTGAAGGCACTCCACACTGAAGACCTCGCAAGGATTTCATTCACCTTTGAAACAGCAATTAGAAAGTTTTTATTTGTAAAACAATCATTGTCATGTTATTTCCCTAGTTATTAAATGTAGTACCTGCTCTCCATACTGCAGACTGCGAGTCATAGACTTGAGCGCCTTGACTATCTGCGCTTTAGTAGCTGAAGGGTTTTCTAGCGTCTCCAGGCCGATGCCTTCCAGTAGCTTCAGGAGGTATGGAACCAGCTCCACCCTTAAAGCCTGTGGATCAGGAATAAGGATGTTATTCTGAACAATAACAGGGAAAGTTCAAGAAGCAGCCACAGCTTACCTGAGCCACCAGTTCTGTCTGCTCTTTCTGAAACATCCGGTTGAGAGCTTCACACGCCAGCCCGGCCACGTCTGCTCGAGATTTCATCCCGGCCATCAGAGGGCCGATCGTCTCCAAAGACGCCATGGAGCGAACGCACAGCTGCACGTTGTGATCAGAGAGTTGGAAAGTGGGGTTATTACATGGTTCCTGCACATTTTACACGTCAAGATTAAATATTTAGTCTGACTCAAATGATCAGAGTAATCTGTTCCTGGATAGATATTTCAGGTTGGACAATCCGGTCTTTAGGCAAAACAGGTGAGAATGAAAACGCTTTTATCCGGTATGTCATGTTTAAATTAAGCTAAAAAAGAAGAAGAATCAAAAATCCCAATTTAGCTCAGAGGAAAATAGCATAGATGATGAACATAGAATGGACGAACAGATTGATGGTTAAAGGATGGACAGACTGATATATGAATGGACAGATTGAGAGATTATTCAAGGGACAAATTTATGATTGATTGATTGATTGATTGATTGATTGATTGATTGATTGATTGATTGATTGATTGATTGATTGATTGATTGATTGATTGATTGGATGGATGGATGGATGGATGGATGGATGGATGGATGGGTCCCCTGTGTCCGTGTATTTCCCACAGGAGCGGCAGAATCGTGTAGGGATGATGGAGATGGAGCTGATTCTCAGAGATATTCATGATTGGAGGCTTCAGCTGCTGTGATGAAACCTAATGAGCCTTCAGCCTCTGGCTGATGTCTTCTTCTCCCAAATCTGGACAGATAAATCAGGTGCAAAGTCGCACCTGAGCAACGCAACTCATCCCTCTCTGCAGGTGTCAGCCACGTAAATGGATCTGGAAGTTACAGTCTTTATGTTCCAACAACTAAACCACAATTGTTTGAGAGCTTAATGTGAAAAAAGTGGATGCAATTGTGAAAAATACGTTTTTCTGGCTGGTGAAATCTGAAAAGTGTGGCATGCATGTTTTTTTAAATCATCGCACTACCAGTTTTGCACAGCTACAGACTGAAATGTGTTGTTCTATTTAAAAAAAAAAGAAAATAGTTAAATGATTACCAAAATAAAAGGTTCCAATAACCAGAATAAAGGTTTTTATCTGTATTTTTAAATCATTTCTGGTTAGTGTTTAATTATCCAGGTATTTTTGATGAGCTTGTTGGTGATTGTTCAAATCTCTTTTCCTTTTCCCTTAATAAATATAATTACCACTTAAAAATTGGATTTTGTAATTATCTTTGGGTGATATTAAAATTCCTTTGATTGTGTGTTAAAGAAATCTTTAACAGCGCTGTAATGTTGATTTGAAACCGATTGGATCAGATTAATGAAATAAGGAGAACAAAGGCTAAAATCTGCCATCTTTGTTTCCTTCTGCCTCCATTTTTGCTTGTTTTGTTCCCCTGTGATGTTTTTGTTTTAGATCAGAGGCAGAGCGGCCTCAAGGCAGCTGGTTCATGGTTCATATGAACAGCAGAGCGTTGAGACGATGAACATTTCTGTTTGACGAGAAGGAGCAACAGAAGGTTTTGTTGCCATAGCGACGGTCTGAAAAAGCCACCGAGGCGCCGCCATTGAAAAGCTGCTTTCTTTAGATCAATAACAGTTTGTTTGGAAAGTTTACGCAGGATCAGACAAGCAAGATTTTAAAAACAAAAGATTCACAGCTCCTAACATTTTTACCTGCTTTTTTAGCTTATTTTGGCAGATAAACAATCCTACCAACTGTTTTTAATTTAATTTTACTCCACTTTATGAGTGAATTGAGCTGCTGTAAAGGAATATGTTTCATCTTGTGAAAACTGTAGAAAAACATAAAAATTTAGATAATAAAATACCTGAATCATGAGATGACAGGATTATAATTTAAATCACTTGAATTGTGTAAATTATCAGATTAAGAGAAGCTATTTTTTAAACAATACTAACACCATTACAGTCAGATGTGGTTTGTTTGATGTACCCAAGTGTTGCATCAATAATCTATAGATCTATGGTAAAGATATTCTGTCTTCTGTGAGGAAAACATGAGTTTTCTGTTTAAATAGCGACCTCTGCTGGTAACACGTATAAATGACAACAATGAAGGGAAAGGCAGCAGATTTCTGCAGCAAACCAAGAGCATTTTTCCACATTACAACCATAAAATCCAGTATATTTCACTGGGACTTTGTGTGGCAGACTGACTGAATCAATACTTTCACTTCTTGTTCACAATTAATCATGCTGTCAAAAAACACATGGCATCTACTTCTTTGTTTTCTTCTTCGTTGGTTGCACCAGAGGCAACATCCTTGTTGATTATGTGACTTAAGTGATGAGAAAAAAAATGTTTTTGTTGCATAACAAACAAATTTAAATACAGCCAAAAACCACCTGATCCCATCCCTAAAACTTTTTTTTTTAATCTAAAAAGAATTACTATTAGTTATCAAAATGTCAAACAGCTAATGTCTGTGGTACCTCTTACAAACATATTAAGCTGTACTTTCCACATGCAAACACTATTTTATTCAAAATCAGATTTAAGCAAATAAAGATTATGACATTTACTCAAAATTAATCATGTTAACCCAAATTCTTTTGCTATTTTTTATTTTTTGTTGTTGGCATACTGAATTTGTAGCCATTATTGTTATTGTGCCAGTCCTGGTTTGAAATTGCAGCAACTGTGAGAGAAGCTTCTCACACTTCAGTTGTTTCTTTAAAACGGCTGCAGTTTCAATCCACTTCTGCCACATTAGGGAAGTGCTTATTCATTACATATGTAAAATAAGGAATAAGGAATGAGGAAAATAAGGAAACTATGGTTTTGCTAGTTTGAGAAAATTACCTGGACCACGTTGCAGTGACAGCTCACAGTTTGATGTCCCCCATAATTATAACTCAAACGAAACCAATAGATTATCATGATTTGTGGTTATTAGGAGATTATTTAGTTACATATACAGCTGCAAAAAGGCAAAGCAGATCTAAACAACTTCTTGTAATCTGACAGGGAAGCGCCTAAAAGCAGAAATAAAATAAAACACTACACAGTAACTGTCAGTTACAAAAACATTCAAAAAGAAAACAGAAAAACGTGCATTCTGCAAAAAATAAATAGGAAAACTTTGAAAATAACAGAAAATATATATAGTACATATCAGATATTTTATCCTTTTTATTGATTTGTAACAACAAAATTTGGCTTTTTTGACAAGAAAATTACCAAAAAATAGTTTTGAAAATGAACAAACCATTGATTTTTTTAAAAAGTGAATCTAAGCAAATAACACTCAAAAAATTTTTCTGAAATTTTAATTTTATGCTTGATTGTCAGAACAACAGGGAAGTGAAAGTGATGCTTTTTGCTTGAATTTCAACAGCAGGCTTCCTCTAACAGGACTTCCAGTTTGACTCACAACAAAGAAAAGGAACAGAAAAATAAATATTTATAGAACAAGATTCAAACATCAAGAAGATTTCACTCGTCAAACAAATCCTCTGCTTTTCATCTAAAAGTTTTATATTTTACCTGCAACAGAAAAAAGCTCATAATCTGTGATTCAAGGTAAGCACCAGGAAACTATTTGAATTGAGAATTTTTTCAATTTTGCTTTGTCTAAATGTAATAAGTTAAAAATGCAGTTATCGCCTGATACTGTAGTATTTTTATTCCACAATGTTGGTAAAATGGACATGAAAAGACATCTTTGTTAAAATGACATTTGTGTTGAAGAAAAATTCAATATAGCTTCAATGTAATTTATCTAAATATAACCCAAAGTTAACACAAAAGGATAGATATGAGTACAAGACAATTACTGAAATAGTTGAATTATTTCAGAATTTTCCACTTTTTAATCTGAACTTCTCTCTACAATTTAATTCAAGACAATCACTTTCAATATAAAATTATTGTTCCCACCAAATCACTCAGCTGTGATAAGGGCCATTGTAACCAGGGGTAAATTTCAGCCAAAAGATCTCAGAAATGTTCTAGAAAAGTAGAATATTTGCTGGAAAACACTGAATTTTTTAGATTAATCTCAGAAATAATTGAGAAAAACATGGAAATTTTTCTGAATTTCAAAGGTTGAAAATTTATGACTTTTGAATTTCAAAAAGTAAAAGAAAAATGTCTAAAACAGCAAAAGTCAAAAATGTCAAGCTTTCAAAACTCATACATTTACATATTTTATCAAAAGAATTTCTGAGGTTATTTTAAAATTACTGAGTTTTTTCTAGAAAATTTCTAAGATTCATCTAAAATTTTGTAATTGTTTTTCTAGCATTTTCTTGGCTTTTCGAACTCAGGAATTTCCTAATTTTTTTTATTTCCGAGATTAATCAAAGTTTTTTTTTTTCTGGAAAATGCTTGACTTTTTGAAATTTTCAGAATTTCAAAAGTTAATTATTTTACATCTGAAACTCTGAAATTTTCAATATTTAACTAATGCGCTGCCATACTCACCTTCTGGCTCATGTGATAAGAAAGCAGGTACTGATCTTGAACTGGTCCCATTGAAAAACATGTTCAGTTTCCTGGTTCTGTCCAGACGCAGATTAAAACAAGTTTTTGATCTGATTTGCCAATCAGGAGATCTTGCAGTAGAAATGTTTGCATCCTTAAAATGTAAATCAAATAGTTGATTTCTCTGGAAGAGCATCCGACCAACTGTTGAAACATTGAAAGTGTAGCAACATGTCTAACAATAACCACAAATATTGCCACACATTCATTGTGGTGTCTTGTTTGTCTGTTGTTCAGCAACAACTGGACCAATGACATAACATGCAGTGTTGGCAACACCTTATGGTGGTTTGGTTTATATGATTTCCAAAATAACACTCTTGGTAAGGCAGGACCACAATGAAAGATGTTCCAGTTATTAATTTAAAGCAACTCTACATAAAAGGAGGTTCAGCCTTGATTAAAAGGAACTCTGTTTATAAACCAAGAACAGTATCTTAAAGTCTATTCTCTGAGCTACAGGGAGCCAGTGTAGGGACTTTAGAACTGGGTGGTGCGCTCTCTCTTCCTGGTTTTAATCAGAACGCCAGCAGCAGCGTTCCGGATCTGATTTTTTTAGGCAGACACTGTCATCTAAAGATAAATGCATGGATGAGTTTCTCTAGACATTCTTGGGACATTATGTCTTCAGGTGATAGAAGGCTGACTTTGCAACTGTCTTTATGTGGCTCTGAAGGCTCAGGTCCATCACTACACCCAGATTTCAGACCTGACCGCAAGTTTCTAGCTCTAATAACTGAAGCTGTGTGCCGTCTCTATATTGTTCCTATTTCAGTTTGAATACATCCGTTATATCTGGCTATTTAGTTGAAGAAAATTATTTTCATTGCTGTAAATGAAC